TCTGAGGTAAAAGGGAGAATCTAACAGAATCCCAGGCACATGGGAGCGGTGTGGACGATCGGTCATGGTGAATGTTGGATGGGGGCTTGGGGGAAACTCTAGTGAGTTCTGAATCTTGTGGTCTCCTCAAGACAGCCTTTGGATTACGGCTTCCAGGAGCTCCTCTTTGTGAAGAGGACAGCGCACCCAGCCCAGGCTGTCCCTTCTGCCCCAGGGTCTCCGGCCGGCCTGCCCTGTCCATCTGAGCTGCGGTCTGTCGGTACCGTCTATGCCGGCCGTCACCACTCCTCCCAAGAACCAGCCCTTCCTGCAGCGTCTCCTGCTCCATCGGGATGAATTGTTCCCACACTGCAGACTCCCTCTTGGTGTCCGCACTGTCCCCTCGTGTCCTGAGCATCCCTGGGTGCCAGGTCTCGACGTCTTCCCAGCATCTGTGCAGTTATCCCCCCGGTCCCCTGCTGTGGTGCCCATCCCTCTTCACCCACCGTCCCACAGCTGAGGACATCCTTTGTGAAGCGCAGCCTCATCATGCCACCTTCTGCCCTCGGCCCACCACCTGCTGAGCCAGTGCAGACCAGAGCCACAGTGATTTCCGCCTCTGCTTCTCTTCTGACGTGTACGACCTTCAGCCTCCACCTCCCCTGTCCTCCCCGCACTGTGCCCTTCTGTGGTTGACGCTACCCTTGGCCCTTCTTGATTGACTGGTTTTATGTGACAGTGTCGCACTCTGTCCCAAGCACTGGACCACGCGTGGGCTGCTCAGGGGCAGCAGGACAGGCCTTGTCCTGGGAGCAAATGCCGTCCACCTCAGGACACACTCTCTGATGTCACCAGCTTCCCTGCTGTGCTGATGGCAGCCTGGGCTTCCCTTAAAACACTCATTTTACAAGTTTTATTTTCATTATTCAAATATTCAAGCATATACAGTGGTAGGGAGATGAGCACAATAAGGTCTTACGAAATCATTGCCCAGATCCAATCATTATCAAGATTCTGCTTCATCTCGCCCCTTCTGCTCAGAGCCTTTCTTTCCAGAAACATAAAGCGAATCCCAGGCATCACGACAGTCCACCTACGCTTTAGGGGGCATCTCTAAACATTCCACAAGACTTTAAAACGTATGTGATACACAACATGCTTGTTCATGTTATTCAGTGTGAAAGTCCAGTCCCCATGCGCACATCTAACAAGTGAATAATAATTCCTTGGTGTCAAACACCCAGTCCATAAAAAGACTCTCTGGATGCCTCAGCCCTGCCTTTTTCGGATTGGTTGATTGGTGTTAGGATCTGGGCAGGGTTCACACATAACATTTGGTTTCTGTGTTCCTCAAGTTCCTCCGAATCTGGAGAACCTTCTCTTGTTTTTTTGTTTTGTTTTTAAGATACAGGGCCCCATTAGGTTGGCCAAGCTGGGCTCGAGTTCCTGGACTTGCTCCATCTTCCTGCCTCAGCCTCCCAAGTAGCTGGGATTACAGGGAAGTGCCACCATGCCGAGACCTGTCTTCCTGGGTTTTAATGCCATGGATTTATTCATTATGCCCCACTTTAGTTTTTTTTTTTTTTTTTTTTAATCATAACACTGATCCCCACATGCAGCAAATGAAAGTTTCCTCATGTGCAGAAAAGGTGATGAGGACTCAGAGAGATGGAGTCACGTCTGCTCATTGTCCTCATTGTCACCCAACTAAAGAGAGGCAAACCGGCATCTTCTTACTTCAGGCCTCTTTCCACCAAGCCAAGACATGGAGAGCCACCCAGATGCTTGCATTTGCAATTACGTCTTTATTAGACTGGAAAGCCACGGAGCCCCCAGACAGACCAGGAGGGGTGCTTACCTTCTGGCAGGGTCTGATGAAAAGGGTCACAGTCTGCTGGCTGATGAAGCTTCGTGCAGAGTCCAAGGAAGCTAGAGAATTGTAGTTGCACATTGTTGACTTTTAGATCCCTACATGTAGGAAGAACATGGACCAAGCAGAGAAATCATACCCCTCCTCCACAAGAAATGCTGAAGCCAAACCAGTGGACAAATTCAGAGCAAATACAGGGAAAGGAGTGCGTGAAAGAGGCTCATTTTGTTTGTTTGTTTGTTTGTTTGTTTGTTTGAGATGGAGTCTCGCTCTATTGCCCAGGCTGGAGTGCAGTGGCGCGACCTTGGCTCACGCAACCTCTGCCTCTCGGGTTCAAGCAATTCTGTGCCTCAGCCTCCTGAGTAGCTGAGATTACAGTTGCCCACCACCACGCCTGGCTAATTTTTTTATTTTTAGTAGAGACAGGGTTTTACCTTCTTGGCCAGGCTGGTCTTGAACTCCTGACCTTGTGATCCCCCTCCCCACCCCAGCCTCCCAGAGTGCTAGGATTCAAGGCTTGAACTACGGCTCCCAGCCGCGGCTCACATTTTGATATGGCTCAGAAAAGAGAAGCCTTGCTAAAGAAGCCAATTTCCACCCACAATCACCTTCATGGAGCCTAGTATGGTCTATGAAAGAAATTAATTGAATGCATTTAATCTTGTAGAGCAAAGAACCTTGGGCAAAGCCTAATGCCGCAAACATTTTAGTTGAGACAACAGCAAGAGTTCTTAGGAGAACAGCTGGAGAGCCAAGGACGCTCCCAGGCAAAGCCAGTTGAAGCTCTCGCCTTGCTGACAAATACTCGCGACAGGTCAGGAAATGCATTAGTGGAACAAAGGGAGTGAATGGGGCAGGAAATTACCGAAAGGCTGCCCGCATGACCCAGCCGGGCTTCTGGGGACTGTTTGCATCCACAGGAAGGAGAGGAGGAGGAAAATAAACTCTTCAGAAAGTAAAACACCTCATTAGCATTTAGTTAATGCCTAAGCTGCCTGTGTCAACTAAAAATAATTGATTCTCTGTTATTTTAAGAATGTTAAATTCCAAGAGCCTGTTGTTGTTGTTGTTCTTATGAACCGATGTTTAATAATGAGAAATTTTTAAAATTAAATACCAGATGTTGTTTATTATTAAGCTTCTTGTTCAGCTTTAAAACGGTGCTGCAGCTGTATCAGAAATCTAATCAGGAGCTTAGCTGCTTGCTCAGTGCTGTGACGAAGAAGTGCAGCATCTTTAGGAAATGCCTGGAGAGAAAATGGGAAGAAGTGTCCTCGTGATGGAGGGAGGTAAGCCTGGAGGAACCATCGGTGTTAGTGGTTTGTTGGTAACACAGCCTCAGGCTGTATTTCCACGATGACTTGAGTACATTTCCTTTTTTGAATTATGACTTAAATTAGTTCCATGTCAACTTTCTCTATTTGCCAACAAGACTTTTCTTCAAGAACCATTTTTCCTGATGAATTTACTGTCCGTTCCGAACAAAACTAGTGTGGACAGCTCGCTGTTTCCCTTTTTAAGTGGTAAGGAAATATTTTAATCTCTTTTGGGGGAAGATAGTTTTATTTAACCCACTTGAGCAGCAACAGAAACATTTAAAGGTAGATTTGCAAAAAAAAAAAAAAAAAAAAAAAAAATTGCCATTGTATAGGTCGCGTAATTTGAATAGTGACATTATACATTCCAGGCAGGGATTAGTTCTTCAGGAGGTTCTGGGATCTCTTTGCTAATCGCTTTTCTCCTGCGTTATCAGTGAGTTGTTTGCTTTTCCCTCTGGCTTCCCGTTTTGCCTACCTCCAACTGTGACTGATCTCTGAGAGTAAGACATTCCAGCCTGAAAACAAACAGGCAGGTTCACCCAATCTGAAACTGAGTTACAATTTAGATGTTATCTGAGAATAACCGGATTCTACTGTTCATTTCTTGACTAACCTCTCCCTAAGTTCTGACAAAGGCGTAGAGAAGAAGTGTAGACTCCCAGGCACCCCAGCATTCAGGGTTAAAATGACTTTGTAGTGCATCTGAGAGAACTGCTGGATCCCCGGGACGTCCTGGACTGTTAGAGGGGGAAAGAAGCCTGGGGAGAAATGCTGGGTGTTTTCCATTCATATTTGATGGCTGCTTTTGCACACTACAGCACACAGCATGTCCTCCCAGGCCCCTGACGTGGTCTCTGTGGTAAGGTATACTAGTTCTGTGTCTAGAGCCAGCCCTTGGAAAGCCAGTCAAGGTCCCGTTAGATCACGGGTGAATGACATCATTGACCTTGTGGTTGAGAGGAACGTGGAGAATATGTAAAAGTTATCACTAAGAGATGGTCCTTGTAGCAGGAATCACTGCATTTAGCAATAGATGTGTTGGATTTTTGGAGACATTTCTCTATTAACAGGAGCAGAAAAAAAAAAAAATTATTCTTGGGTTTAAAAAAACCTGGCATGGGTCTCAGGCTGGTGTCCCTAAGAGGAAATTCTGTAGACCAGGACACGTGATTGACTGTCACACAGCCTGGATTGTTAGTGATTCAGTGAGTCCCAGTTAAGTCTTCCTTTTCTAATAGGGCAGTGATAATATGATTATTCAGTGTTTATTCTCTTTCTCTGGCAATTAGGATTGGCTCAAGGCCCCTTAGGTGGTGGTAATTGGGACTTCACAGTCACTAATGAGTAAACATGTTGGCCTCATAGCAAATAGAACCAGTGATTGGCCTAATGTGGGGCGAGTCATTTATGTATCCATGCAATTGACATTTATTAAAAGCGGAGGAAGTGCCAGGCCGGACCCCGGCCTAGAATAAGAGAGGGAATTCCTACTGCATTAGGGCTCACCTGGTAGTGGGAGACAGTGAGTGGTGGCTCTTAGGAGGAAAATGAAGCAGACGACATAATGGGCAGTGAATGGCTGGGCTGGAGCAGTCCGGGAAGCCTCCTAAGATGCCAGTGTCAGGGAAGAAAAAAGTAACGTCTTTTCCTCATGCATTACAAGGCTCATGGCTGACACTCCTGTAACAACAGAGTAATCAGAGAAAAGCATAACAGACTGACTTGTCAAAGTTTTATGCGACATGGGAGCCTTCAGAAGTGAAGACCCAAAGACCCAGGGAAAAACCTATGTATTTTTATGCCAATGAAAAACGGACAGTCATGCAAAAAGGTGATTGGACAAAAAGGGGGTAATTTATCAAGCGTGGGGAACTCAGCAAGACCTGTCTGTTGGGACTGTGGGCCTCTCTGCGCAGCCCTCTTTCCCGCTCGGGGTGGGGCAGGACCGCTCCGGAACGCAGACCTCCTCTCAGGTCAGGGAAGCTCCTTCATGACCATGCTTCCCACTGAAGGGTAGGGAGGGTCAGAGCAACCCTCTTGCTTCTGAGGCCCTCTCAGTCTCCTTCAGTTCACAGTGCTCAAGATCATGTTTTCCGAGCCATGACAGTCTTTAAACTGAGACCTAAACAGGCACTCAACCAAGAGGAGGTCTGGGGAAGGAACGTTCCAGGCCCCAAAATTTGATAGGAAGGCCTGCAGGGGGAGTGGGAGAGACGCTCGGTGTGACCAGTGCCTGGGAAATGCATGACAAAGTCATCTGAGAGATCTAAGAGGCAGCAGGAGCCAGATCACACGGGCGTTTGTGAGCAAGGCATTGAATTGTAGCCACCGGGAAACATTTCCGTGGGAGGAGTTTAAGCAAGGAACATACATGACACAAATTTTTAGAATGTGTGATTACCATACCACTTAAAAGCCATAGAATCCCATTCTCAGATTTAAAAACTGAGTAAAATCTCTAGCCAGGCACAGTGGCACGCACCTGTATTCCCAGCTGCTCAAGAGGCTGAGGCAGGAGGATTACCTGAGTCCAGGAGTTTGAGGCTGCGGTGAACCGTGATTACACCTGTGAACAGCCACTGCACTCCAGCCTGGGCAACACAGCAAGACCTGGTTTCTAAAAATAAAAAGTAAAACCTCAATACTGTATATAAAACATACACAAAATATTTATTAGGATGAATTTGTGATGTGTGTTCAAGTTAAGACATTTATTGTTTTAAAGTCAATTAGCGTTAGCAATGAGGTGATTTTTCAAAATGATAAAAATTAGAAGTGAGTGTTAGGGAAGACAGTTTCCCTTATGTCATCTCTGTATTTAGTTTACTTTTGCTTTGTTTTGGGTTGTGTTGAGAAAAGCCTTGAGGGATAAAGATTAGTTGCCGAGTTTGTGTTTTCATAGTTTGCCTTGTGACCTCAGACTTTCTCATTTTTGTTCTTGATTATATTTAACTGTTGCTTAAATATACAAGTCATATAAAGAAAGAACCAACAGTTTGTGTACATGCTCTCTCTGAAATCAAAATAGCCTCATGTGATGATTGTTCTCTTCTTATGTGACTGACTTATGCAGACAGGAACATGGATCAGGTAATATACTTTGTGAGAATAAGCTAGTTGCCAGTATTATTTTATGTGAGCGGACACGTAAGAATGCTTGTTTGAAAAATAGCAATATGTAATTACAATTACTAATTACTAATCAGTGACCTATTTGTAAGACCAAAAATAAGAACCTTTATTTAATCTGAGATCCTGACAGAAGCAAGTTAACTTGAAAACATCTGTGGATTTCAATATATTAAGATTTTATGTGTATTATATGAAACAATTCATATGTTCTTATACTAATTAAATATGTTTTAAAAATATTCAATGTATGAAAAATGCACTTTAAAAACCAGTGGCTGAAAGAATAGTAAACAGCACTGTAACCCTAAAAACTTGCATTAACTTTATATTTTAATTTAGTCACAACATCCAGATGCATACATTCTTCAAAAAATGTGAGGTCTTTATTAAGAATAGACAGTTTTGAGAGAGTAAGGCACATTTAATTATTTAATATTATACATTTACTTTTGGAACATAAAATGAGGAATTTAAAATGTTAATGATTTTAAGGGTATAATTTAAGAGTTTTACATGTCCTCACTGAATTTACTGATAAATACAACTTTTCATTACTAGTGGAATCAAAAATTTTTAGTTCTCCCATATCTATTTTTTTGGCTAGTTCATCAGAAATACCCAAAGATCTTAGATGGGAGAAATTTTAGATTCTTAAGATATTTCTAGAATGATGGTGGTTTTGTTTCTCAAAGCATTGATCTGTCGCCCAGACCTTTTGCCCTTTTTGCTCTGTCTCACCTATTCAAAAAGCCCTTGCTTTTTAAAAAAGAACTGAGGACAGGAACCGGCTGAATACACTTTTGTCATATGGAACTTTGGGCTTATTGTCTAAGCTATCATCTTTTCACCATCCTCACAAATCTGTTGAAAACTGAAGACTTGTCCAAGTTGTCACAGACAGGAGACAAATTCCTTTTGCATGTTCCCAATTTATGCATAGTGCCTTTCACATGATGCAGAAGATTGCAGACATGAAAGCACTCAAAAGCAAAGAGACACCGGGGCTGGGTCGGACACAAGCTTGCTGCCATGTTGCTGGACAAATTGGTTGTACTCTGTGATCAAACATCTAAAGATATTCTGTACACTGGAGCATTTGAGACACAATGACATTTCAAAATAAAATCCAAGTGAGCTTTTGTATTTGATAACCCAGAGAAATGCAGTGGCCACACATTTCTGCTCCATTTTGGCCTCTGCTTCTTGGACCCATACACTATGTGATTGCAGTGCGGCCAGCTGGAGATAACACTTCTGCTGTGTCCTCAAGGTTTTCCACTTTAGTTTCTTTGATATTTGGAAATGGAAATACACCTATGCCCTCAAAAACAATTTATTAATCTTTGTAACTGTACAGTTTTGCAAGGAATATCTACAAAGTGCACCGTTTGATTCCGGGTAAATAAATTTCTTTCTATGGATCTTCAGGCAATTCTTCCATTAGGCATAGCAGACATCCTCATCTATGTGCCTCAGATTCTCTGTTCTTTTTGTTCCGTATAGGATGTCTTTTTCTTCTTCCTTTTTATGTAATATTCTCAAAGGATATAACCACATCATTCCATCAAGTTTACTTCATGGTTTGTGTCAATGTATTATTCTTGCATTTGCTTCTTTATAACACAGCGGTTTATACCATGCGTAGGTTTCATGTTTTCTGACTTTAGTTCTTTCGTAGCTCTATTAGAGTGAGTCCAACTTATGACATCATTAGCAATGTTGTGTAGGCTCTGAGACGCACCTTCTGTGTGTTTGCTTTGATTTTCTGTGCTGCCTTCATGACAGTGTCCCCAGAAAATAATTTTACATTCCTAAAAACTGATATATATTCAGCAACATTTCTCATTCACTTACACGATGAAGAACAACAGCAAAAGAAAATGAAGTTACAACAGCAAATGAAAAACCAGATCATAGAGTTAGCAGTAGAGTTTGTATTTGTTCCCCCAAAACTTTGTTCGCCCACCTGAGAGCAGCACAGAACATAATGCACCCATTTTTGTCTTCTACAAACCATTACCCATTAACATTCTAATCCTTAAAAAAAATCACACATAAGACCTGCTGAGCAAGTAGCATTATAAGTTTTTTTAAATGCCTGTGAGTAGGCATATCCTATTGTAGAGAATCATGTTCTAAAAGTAGATTTCCTTTAGAGAACTTTGGTGAGTTTTCTTCTTAATCTTCAGGGGTCAACTTGGATCAAACTAGGGCTTCTGAGAATTTTCCAGGCATGGTTCCTCTCCTGTAGTTGTTAACTTAAAGATGTATTTATTATCATCCTTTATGGCGATGCAAATCCAGGCAAAAGCATGTATCAAACCCTTACGATTTGCCAGAGGTCAAGCTAAGCAGTGAAGAAACAGAGAAACTGTAAGGTAATGATGACAAATGGTAGACACAGAATGAGAACACAATGTGAAAAGCATTTTAATAAAGCGATGAGTGACATTCCAGAGAGCCCAGGGAAGATTAGAATTACAGAGCAGGTAGTGAAGCAGGGGACGAGAATGACACAGCTGATGTAAAGAATTATCTGGAGCTGGGGTGCAGTGGCTCACACCTGTCATCCAAGCACTTTGGGAGGCCGAGGCAGGAGAAAGACTTGAGGCCAGGAGTTCAAGACTAGCCTAGACAACATAAGGAGACCCCCATCTCTACAAAAGTTTTTTTAAAAATTAGCCAGGTGTGGTGGTGCGTGCCTGTGGTCCCAGTTACTTAAGAGGCTGAGGCATGGGGATCGTTTGAGCCCAGGAGTTCCAGGCTGCAGTGAGCCATGATCACACCACTGCACTCCAGCCTCGGTGACAGAGCAAGAAACCATCTCAGAAAAAAAGAAAAAAAAAAGTTATCTGGGAATAATGAAAAGTTTGGTATGATGAGGCTGAGAGTCCAGAAAGGTGCTAAGAGGGTAGGTTGGGGCTGGGCCTGGTGGCTCATGCATATAATCCCAGCACTTTGGGAGACGAAGGCAGTCAGATCACTTGAGGTCAGGCATTCAAGACCAGCCTGGTCAACATGGTGAAGCCCTGCCTCTACTAAAAATACAAAAATTAGCCAAGTGTGGTGGCACACACCTGTAATCCCAGCTACTTGGGAGGCTGAGGCACAAAAATTGCTTGACCCGGGAGGTGGAGCCTGGCCAACAGAGTGAGACTCCATCTCAAAAACAAAAAGAGGTTAGGTTGGATAAGTAAGTGAAGGCCAAATCATAAGACCTATGATGAAGTTGGGGCTGTATTCTGTAAGCCACGAAGAGTCATCAAAAGCCTCACTTGTAAGAACTAGTTATTGAATGAGAACCTGTGAGTAGAGAACATTTACCACTTGGCCTTTGCTTTATCAAGATCTTGGCAGCATGACCATGCAGAAACAAAGGGATGTGTCACCAGGATTCCTCTCTCATGCAGGGCTGTGTTAGGACACACGTATTTCATTAGAGATTGTTTGGAAAGTCACCTCTTACCCCCACTCTAGAACAATTTACATTAGAGAAAGGTTTTCTTACAGTGACCTCACACACACCCTTTTGAGGAGAAATGAAAAGCTGTAGTTTAACAACCGCCTTACACGTAAGAATGAAGGAACCAAATGTGCAAATTTAGAATGACGTTGCATTGGGCTGACCGTAAAGTACCCTCCATCCCCAGAGCACTGCTAATGCGGAGAATGTGGTTTGTTATACAAGACCTACTGGGTAGCTGTTTATTTAGTAGAAATAGTGTATGCTGGTTACAAGAATGGAAAAGAGAATAAAACTAAAATTACTATTATCAATTACATCCAAAAGGCACACAAAAAAATAACCACAAGGTGTATATCTCAAGGTCAGAAGGCCAAAATAAAGAGCCAAGTTCGTTCTTTCTTCATCTCCTTTCAGTTCATTCTCCCTGCTGTCACCCCACGCATATACTCATGCTTCCTTAAAGTCTGTCCTTGGGCCAGTGGTTCTTAAATAACTCTTACGTCAATAGAGGATGCTTTCAGTTGCCAATACCAGAGACCCCACTTCAAACTTATCTTCAGGATTGGAGAAGCACCTAGCTTGTTTAATTTGAACGTCCTGCTCAGGGGCAGTCATGGTCAGTCGATCCCTCGCCAGAATGTTATCAGAGACCCACCAGTCTCTTTCCATCTTTTCACTTTGCCCCCAGTGCTTTATACTGAGTCTGGTCCATGGCCCTTGTGGAAATAACAGGAAGGTGACCTAAAGTAATGGGGACTATGGGCATCCTTGTTCACCAGTGGAGAGGGGGTGTTTGCCCCTGACAACCAACTGACCAAAGTTACTGTTCGCCTTGCCGGGACCACCCTGAGCCAATCCCTATAGTCCGGGAAATACCACGGTGGATTGGTTTAGACTTGGATTACCAAAACCCATCCGTGTAGGAAGATTGGGGCGGGGGTGTCACTGTGGCTATACATGCTCTTCAACAAGGAGGGAAGAAATGGATGTTGGAGAGAATATTCACATGTCTCCTTCAGGCCTCCGAGAGTCTCATAAGAGCAATGTGCTATCTCCCTGTGCATTAATTTTGCATTTGATTTTTGGAGGATTCACTAACCCACTGAGGACTGTCATTCTTTTTTTTTTTCTTCAGCTTCATTGAGGTATAATTGACAAATAAAAATTGTATATATTCGAGGTGTACAACAGATGGTTTGATATATGTGTACGTTGGGAAATGATTGCCACGACCAAGCTAAATAACTTATCCATCACTTCACAGTTACCCTCACGTGTGTGGAGAGAACACTTAAGATCTACTCTCAGCACATTTCAAGTACACCAATACATTGTTATTAACTATAATCACCATGCTGTACATTAGCTCTCCAGAACTTACTCATCTTAAAACTGAAAGGTTATACCTTTGACCAACTTCTTACTATTTTTCTCACTTCTCAACCCCTGGTAACCACCCTTCTCTTTGTTTCTGAGTTTGACTTTTTCTAGATTCACATACAAATCAGATCTTGCGGTGTTGTCTTTCTGTGCCTGGCTTATTTGGCCCAATGTGATGTCTTCCAGGTTCGTCCTTGTTGTCACCAATGGCAAGATTTCGTGTTTTATAGCTGAACAGTATTCCATTGTGGATTTGTACCACATTTTCTTTATCCATTCCTCCGTTGATGGACACGTAGGTTGATTCCGTATCTTGGTTGTTGTAAATGATGCTGCAGTGAACATGGCAATGCAGATGTCTCTTCAACATACTGATGTTATCTCCTCTGGATGTATATACCCAGTATTGGGATTGCTGGGTCATAGGACCATTCTATATTTTTGAATTTTTTGAGGAATCCCCATACTGTTTTCCATAATGGCTACACCATTTTACATTCCTACCAAGACTGTAAAGACTAAAGACCATTATTTACCTTAGAAAAGCATTGCTTCCCAGAGGCAGATGTGCACCTCATTCCTAGATTTCAGCATTCTCTGGTACTGTTTATCCATTCAGGAGGAACTACAGTCATCAGACACTGGAGATAAATTGTGGTTTTAAGCTTTTACTTCATAATTTTTACAGATGATCTAGAGACAGGCCAAGTAATAATTTGTAAATAATTGATTTTAAACATTCAGCTCATTCTTTAAAAAAACTCATAGCCCAAATGTTTTGTTTTGTTTTGTTTTTCCCATTGGGAAAGGACAGGGAAATGTGGCTTCCAGCTCCTGTGCCCCGGATGTTGTTATATTTTACCATGTCTTTCACATCATCCTCCCATCGTTGGTTGCCGTCCATCTTTTCATAGACGGCGAGGTACCAAGAGAAAGGTAATTTAGCCAGACCTGTCAGGACAGCCTCACTTCGTGGAGCCCAGGCGAAGTTTTCCAATAACAGCTGTTCTCCCAACTGGAATATACCCACAAGCAACAATGCCGCCAGTCATCTCATGTTGCGGTTTTAAAAGAAAGGGTTTGCCAGAAGTACTGGGCAGGTTTAGCAGCTGTTCTACCTGGAAGAAGGAAAGGTTCTTGACCTGTGAAGGACCCTTTAGCATTGTCTGTCTATGTGCTGATCAGTTTTAAGTAAACCCTGCACTGAAGCAATGAAGAAAGACACTGGCCAAGTCAGCATGCTGTTGCCTCACTCCCCATCACCACCGTGAAGCCTCCTCTTTAAACACAAGGCCCAGAGAGGATCCAAGATGTTGCCAAGACCATCTGTAGCCACCAGCCACGCACGGGTGGGGTCATGTTTCTTAGCCCACAGCAACACAGATGATAGGCCTGGTTCTTAATCTGGACAGCCTTCACACAGCACCAGATAACCGAATGCTAATTTTCCTTTCCATTTACCTTAAATCTCAACAGTAACACAACTAAAAATAAAAAAGACACCGTGGAATGGGTCCCGTTTGTTCCACAAAAGAACTTTTCCCCAGGTGTGGCCTCCCTTGAAAAATGGCTGCACCCTTGGCTTTCTTTGTGTGACTGATTTGCAAATCCATTAGTCACATTCACCTTTGGCTAAAGACTATGGGATAGTTGATTTATTTTGGATGATGCAGGATTTTTCAAGAGACGTTTTCATATATTTAGCCCAACTGCTTGACCAGAAGAAACAAAGTCATAAGTATCTATACAGGATTACAGAAAATGGAATTGTAGCTTCAGCTACAAAGCAGCTCAGCCAGTTCATGGAGACTTGTCACAGGTTGGTGACTGAGAAGGGTCTGCCTGAAACACTTGTATGTCCAGGTCCAGCTAAGCATATGCATGTCAGCCTCAGCCGCTGGGGTCCCCACCTGCTCCTGTGGCATCACGTGGCTCAAATGGCATCTTTACTATGAGTGTGGAGACACTGGGCACCAGCACCTGCACAGGCAGATGGTGAAAGGCCTCAACTCTCTAGTAATGAGGATGGCAGCCATATGCTTTCTCATGCATCGAACTCAGCCTCCAACCTACAATACCATAATGATGACATGTGGGAAAGTCTAGATCCCATGCCACATGCCAGTTAAAATACACGCACTGGAAAAGGGAGGGGAGCTTCGCTGCACACACATGACTTTTTTTCTGTGGCCTTTTCTGCATCTACCCAGGACTTCATTGCTAATACTGCCTCCCTCCATGTGGGATGAGGTGGGAGAAGGATGATAGGAAAATACTTCCACCCGTTTGCTGTGGCAGGGCTAGACTCCAAAGTGCCCAGGACTGCTAATTCATTCACCCCTTCGTGACAGCTTATTTACCCACACCCCACCTTATTTCCAGAAGGACTCCAAGTAGCTCAAGAAAGGAATAAAGAGCCATAGTTAAAAAATAATTTCTCCAAGTCCTCTGGCTCTCTCCATGGGCTGGACTGAACTTTGAGTGACTCACCCATGGTCTGAAGTCCAAGAAACAAATACGCTAGGCTGAGATCTGGAGACTGTTCTATTTGCAGTTCTTACGGAGGAGGTTACTGTGTTCTCCACTGATTGGGCGTTGTGTTTTCCCAGGGAGACGGCCTGAAGCAGGCACCTGCATCCACTTTATTCTTTTCCTCTTTGTGAGTCTTGCACGGGCCGTCAGCCTGTTTGGGAACTGTGGCAGGACATGGAGGTCAGCCTGTGCCAAGCACCTTGAACCCTCATTATCTTTAATTAGTGTTTAGGAGGTTAATCGGTGGCGAAGCTCATCTTTCTTTAATTACTCCAGCAGTTCAGTCGGGGAGTCCTTGTAGCCAGCTTTGAATTCTTCTGTTTGTTTGGATGCTTATTTGAATTTGTAAAGTTGGATGTTTATGGCCCAGACCTAGACCCTGTGTGCGTTGAAGAAAGTGTTAGGAAAAGAGGAGAGACCAGTATGGGGAAGGTTATTTTTATTGCAATTAATTTGCAGCCTAATGAGCCCAGAACGTTTGCAGTTTTAAAAGTGCATCACAGTCACGTGAGAGATATCAGTAATTCAAACTCGATGCACATCTTTTTAAGCTCCAATGAGCACATTTGTTTTATTTTTCATACAAGGATAAATTCACATTCAAATAATTAGTTGATTAAAACATATTATTAGGTCTCTACTCCATGTCTTGACATATTAGGTGCTTTGTCCAGTCACATTTAATTTTCAGTGTTGTACATAATAAAGCTATCAACCTTGGGAAATTATATTCCAGCCCAAAGGCTTTCTTCAGAAACTCTCCTTAATGCCTGGCCGACATTTCCTTTTCTTTCTTTTCTATCACCTTATGCTCATTCTCTCCTCTATTTCTTTTCAGTGACGACCAGACACTTTAAAGATGATCTGTATTTACCTTTGTATAAGGATCCTTCCCACCCTCCATTGCTTTCCTTCCTCCTCACTTCCACCTACTTGTTCCTTAAATGCAGCCGTTGTTCTCATGCTTCACGGAAGGGTGAACTTTGGCTGAAGTCACGATTTCCACTCAACAGGACAGTAAGTCTCAGCCACATTGTGCCTCTGTCTGCAAAGTGTCCACTGCTCTTTGGCAAAGTTAGGATGTAGCCTTGGTTATCCTTTGGCCCTGGAGATGGTGTTGTCAACAAAGCAGCTCCCTTAGAGCGGGTTTTAGAGGGTCAGCAGGCCAGCGCCTCCCTTCCCCTTCCAGGAAGAAGCGGAATCTCAGACATGGTTTCAGGGAGGTGCTCCCAGGAGCCTCTGGCAGGAGAAAGGCCTTGTGGCCCTGCCATTTCCATCTTTGTCTTTGCTTTTGTACTTTGGTCCAGCCTGTGTTGACTCTTTCATCTCTTTGCTGCTTCAGTCCTTCAACAAATCGTTTTTGAGCATCCACTGTGTACCAGGCACTGTTTTGGGTGCCAAGCATATAATTGTAAAAAACAAACAAACAAAAAAAAAAAGGCAAAATTCCTGCCCTCATAGAACTTACATTCCAGTGAGGAACACAGACAGTACACACAAACGATGTCGTGAAAAGTATGACACGGAAAAGCCAAGCTAGATGTGGGTGCAGACAGTGATGAGGGGAGGGTTTCTGGGAAGCTGGTCAGGGGAGTCTGGTCCGAGTGAACTGAGGGAGAGAGACTTGTCCATGGGAAGAACATCCCAGGCTGAGGGAAAGCATATGCAAAGGGCCTGAGGCGGGAAACCGGAGTGATCCGGGAACTTGCAAGGACGGCCATTTGGCTGGAGCAGAGGGAGGGAGGGAAGCACAGTAGGAAATAGCATCGGGAGGAAGCCAGCGTCCTTGCGTTTACTGTATGATTCTGAGTAGGTAAGCAGCATGGTCCTGTTTGTGGATGTAGAATTTTAACAGAACTTTTTGCTTATAAAGCTGCATCTTTGTGGTTAACTCAGTGCTTCCCTGCTATAGTATGTTTTCTCCGTTTCCCAAATGCCCCTATTTGTAAATGCACAGAGCCTAGACTATCCTTCACTTGGTTTGTGACACCCAGGCCTTTTCAACCCGTGGCACAGCATTTCGCTTGGGGCCTCTCCAGGTCAGCCAGGTGCCCTGCTAATTTATCTGTTCCTAGCAGCCCCGTGACTCCAACCTGACCTTTTCATAGGCTTGCCGACAGGACCACGGAGCTCAGCCTTGCAAGTCGTGGAATGAGGTAATGGTTTCCATATGTGCCGGGGCTGTCATTCAAATTCTTTGCCTGCTCAGCTAATGAGGTCAGAATGGCTCTGCCTGCAGTGGACAGCCTCTCCCTCGGCTAGTGTGCCTGCAGGAGATGCTGGAGGAAGTCTCCCCACCCGCTTTCAAGGAAGCTTGGCGAGATAGCATTGCTCTGTGCTGCTCACAAAGGGATAACTGCAGAAACACATGAAATAAAAGGGAATAGAAGGGAAGAGACAGACTGACATTTTTTATTTAAACCTTTTATTTGGAGATAATTGTGGCTTCATAGGCAGTTGTAAAAAATAATAGAAAGCTCACATGTACCCTTTACTCAGTTTCTTTAATGGCAGCATCTTACAAAACTATAGTGTCACAACCAGGAAACTGACATTGACAACGGTCAACACAAAACACCCATCACCACAAGAACCGCTTCCCCCCCGCCACCCCACCATTGTGCTTTTCCAGCTACCCCTACTTTCTACTCACTCCTTAACTCCTGGCAACCATTAATCTGTTCCCCATTTCTGTGATTTTTGTCATTTCAAGAATGGCATATACGTGGAATCGTATAACGTGGAACCTTTTGTTAGTGACATTTTCTGTCAGCATAATTCTCTGGCGTTTCATCCAGGTTGTTGCATGTGTCTGTAGTTTCTTCCTGTTTACTGCTGAGTAATATTCCACCTCACACATGTACCACACTTTGCTTAACCATTCACCCGTTGAAGGAGATCTGGATTTCCAGTTTTTGCTCTTATAAATAAAACTAGTACAAACATTTGTTTACTGGCTTTTATGTCAATATTAGGTCTTAATTTTTCTTGGATAAGTGTCCAGGAGTACAATAGCTGGGTTTATAGTAGATTCATATTTAGTTTTAGTTTTAGGTTTTTTGTTTTTTTTTTCAATAGCAACCATGTGTATTTAGCTCATGATTCTGTGGGTTGACAGTTTGGGCTGCACATTAGTGGAGGGTTACCTGATTTGTGTGTGTGAGAGACATAATTCAAACACATAAACTTCACCATTTTAAAGTGTATAATTCAGTGGTTTTTAGTGTTTTCACAAGGCTGTGGTATGTTTGGTTTTTAAACAAACTGCCAAGCTGTTTTTCAGAGTGGGCATACCATTTTATATTTTCATCATGATGCATGAGTGATCTAGTTTTTCTATGTCCTTGCCAGCCATTCAGTGCTGTCTTTTTTTTTTTTTTTTTTTAATTTTAGCTATTGGGATTGCTGTTTAGTGATCTCTCTTTGTGGTTTTAGTCTGCATTTTCCTAATGGTTAATGATGTTGAACATCTTTTCATGTGTTTATTTGCCAACTGTAGTCTCTCTGGTGAAACATCTTTTCATGGCTTTTGACCATTTTCTAATTGGATTCTTTGTTTTGTTTTGTTTTATATTGAGTTTTGAGAGTTATTTATATATTCGAGATATCAGTTCTTTGTGAGACATATGGCTTACAAATATTTTCTCCCATTCTGTACCTTGTTCTTTCAGCTTCGTAATAGGGTCTTTCATAGAAGAAAAGTTAATTTTAGTGAAGTCCAAATATCAGTTTTTCTTTGTGAATTATGTTTTTGGTGTCAAGTCTAAGAGAACTCTGCTTAACCCTAGATTTCAAAGATACTCTCCTGTTTTTTTCCCTAAAAGTTGTATAGTTTTATATTTTACTTTCAAGTATGTATGTTGAGTTAATTTTTGTGTAAGGTATGAGACTTAGATCAAAGTTCCTTTTTTTCTGTGCATATATAGTTGCTCCAGCACCATTTGTCAAAAAGGCTTTCTTCCACTGAATTGCTTTTGCACCTTCATCAAAAATCAGATGGGTATGTTTATGTGGGTCTGTTTCTGGGTTCTGTCTTCTATTCTATTCATCTGTTTATTTGGATGACACGCTGTCTTGCTTATTGTAACTATATCATAAGTCTTGAAATCAGATACACTGATTTCTTCCATTTCATTCTTCTTTTCCAAAATTTTAACAATTGTTCTTTTACCTTTCCATATATACTTTTTGGAATAGTCTTATCTGTAACTACAAAAAATGGTTGAGATTTTGACAGGAATTGCTTTAAATCTGTATATCAATTTGGGGAGAATTAACATCTTTACTATGCTGTGTTTTCCAATCCATGAAAATGGCAAGTCTCTCCGTTTGTTTAGATTTTCTTTGATTTCTTTCATCAGCATTGTGTAGCTTTTAGCACACAAATTTCGTAAATGTTTTGCTCTGTTTATGCCTCAGTATTTCATATATTTTTGAACAATCACAAATTGCATTGTATTTTAAATTTTTAGGATCTGTGTGTTCATTGATAATACATAGAAATACAACTGATTTTTATATGTTGATCTTACATCATGTAACTTTGATGAACTAACTTATTAGTACTAGGAGTTTTATATCCATACAGAAATGTATATACATATTTATGTATGCGTATGTCCATACAGAAATATATATACATATTTATGTGTGCATATATATGTATTTCTTGGGATTTTCCGGACAATCATGTCATCTGCAAATAGCTACAATTTTATTACTTCCTTTCTGGTCCCTGTATTTTTTATTTCCTTTTCCTGTGTTATTTGCACTAGCTAGAACTTCTAGCACTGTGTTGAATAAAAGTGGTGAAAATGGTCATCCTTGCCTTGTTCCCAGTATTTGGGAGAAAGCATTGAACTTTCTATCATAAAGTGTGGTGCTGGCTGTAGGTTTTTTTGTAGATGCTCTTTGTCAAGTTGGGGAAGTTATTTTCTTAATTTGCTAAGAGATTTTTTGTCTGTTTTTAACTCATGAATGGGTGTTGAATTTTGTAAAATGCTTTATCTTCATGAACTGATAGGATTGTGTGGTTTTTTTTCCTCTTTAGCCTGTTAACATGGTAGATTACATTGATTTCTGGATATTGAACCATCCTTGTATCTCTGTAATCTCCACTTGGTTGTGTTGTGTAATTCTTGTTATATGTTTATGAATTGCACTTACTAATGTCAGGTTTTTTGCATCTATGTTTGTAAGGTACATTGGACTGGGGCTTTCTTTTTTTGTAATGTCTCTGTATGGACTGGTATGGTATAACAATGGCTTCATAAATAAATTGGGAAGTGTGCTTTCCT